TTCCGGCATGACTAGTTACTGCTTGCACCAAGCAGTACCGCAAAATTGCCTCGATTCGTTGCAAAATTCCGCAACTTTTGCGGTATTTTTTGCCACCAAAGTCAGGTACCACAATCTCGACCGACATTGTTTTTTGGCGCTGTGCAGGTTTAACGCGATTCTGTTAATTCTTGTTTCTTAATATCAGAAACTGGATGCAAAGAACAGGGGTATGCATTCACTTGTGGCAAGGAACAGGTTACAGGGAGGGGTGGGGAGGGGCGGGAGGACGTTCAACCGTTTTGTGTGTGACATTTTGCGTGAATGGAGGGAAATGTGTTAAAAAGTTTTATGAAATCAAACAAAATAAATACTATATAGTATAAGGGTTAACATCATCAGTTAGCGGCAATAAAAAATTGTTGCCAGAAAACGAACGCAGCAACTAATAATAATAATAAAAAGATGCGATGCCTTCGCTTCACTCAATATGAGTTCGCTCGGACAGTAAAAAAGTTTGATGCCGCACTTTCAAAAGCACACGTTTTCGATCGCCGTATTGCAACAAACAATCAAAATTAAGGAATTATTAGTGCCATATGTTAATAGGCGAATTGCAGGATCATAGAGGAAGGCTATAAATTGTGCATTATAACAAAACGCTTCTTAAATTTTTGAAAAAAAATTCATCTAAGGGATACAAAACTACGGAATTCCAGTAGTAAAACAGACTTTGATAAAATGATATCAAAAGAAAGAAGAACAGGAAATTTGCCTAGAATTTTCGAAAACGACGGATGCGAAGTGAGGGAAGAGGGATTTTTTTGTTGGCACTATTGCACAGTGACTGAATTTCTACAGTTTTAGTAGAGCTTTGTAACATTCTGAAACTGAGGAATAGGCAGTGAGTCTCAAAAATCAAAATCTACTGAAGCACAATCAAAAAAAAAAAAGAGCGTAGTCATTCCTAAAGTCCTAAGATTACGAAGATCAGTTGTAATTCACAGTCTACACCTTCAACGATGTAGCTGTTAACTTTCTAAGAAAATCCAAAAAAAAAAACAGGATTCTGGAAAACCCAAAAATACGCGAGAAACTTTCAATTACCAATTCTTAAAAAAATGAAAAATCAAAAAATGCACTGTTTCACAGCTAAAAATTTCTTCATTTCTGGGTTTTAAAAATTTCTTCATTTTTAACTACGACCAATAACTCAAGAAATCTATTTAACCTAATTCTGGAAGAGGCCGGTTGGCCTCAAAACATGGTACCTATTTTGGAAGACACAAAAAAGAAGCAAGAGAAGAGTAACATACATACACACACATACAAACAAAACTGGATCCCAGAATGAGGTTCATACCAAAGAAGCGAACTTTCTCAAAAAAAAGAAAAAAAAAAAGATGCAGCGTGCACATAAGCAATCGAATAACACAGTAAGCTAGAAATATGGTAAAGCAAAAATACGGAAAAGAAAAACTAAGCTAGCTAAGGTATGGTTTAAGCAATGCAGCATCACAATGTAATTTATCAAAGATTTCAAAAAGCTGTACCAAATTTACTCTATTTTGTGCTCGAAAAACTCATCCACGGAAAGAACGGACGTGGGAGATATCGCTGGAATTCACCCACACAAAGAAGAAACGAGCGGAGTACCACTGGAAAAATTAATCAAACAGAATTTTGGATACTCCCAAAATTTCGGTACTTCGATTTAAAACAATAAAAATTTTCATGGAAAACTAAAACATTTTGAATACAAACAACAGCAATGAAGATGAGGGAAAGAGGCAACATTGCTTTTTCACTAACACATCAAACAACTGAACAAAAAACTGAATAGTAGT